ATATACTGTTTTCCTTGCTTCAGCTCTTACCCTTTTGTTCTGAAAATGGCCACTGCAGTGCAGATTGGTACTCCCTTATTAGTAATTCATGCTATGTTTCTCTGGGCTATGGGGTGGAAGAATTGAAACTGCTTCAAATTTTCAGTAGAAAAAAGGTTTAAAAAAAAAATCAAAAACATATCACCCTATGCGTGTCAGTTATTTAAATGTGTATTGCTTAAAGTGCATTTTTTTTAAAATCAGTGAATTAATTTCCTCCTAAAATTGCAATCCAAGTGTTAACCTTTGATACCATAAAATAACTGCACAGAGGAACAATGAGACCTCAGGGCTTCCAAATAATTTCTTGGGTGAATAAATGAATAATCTGAGGTCAAATGTTCAGAAAAGAAAGTTTTGATTAAAAGAAAAGTATTTACTTAAAAGTGTTATATATATAGATTTTTTTGTAGAGTATGAGAAACTTTGTATTTTTCTTGGAGTATTGGGGGCATCAGAATGTAGGAGTGGTGGGGGGTGGGGGAGTGCTGAAATTTTAAGTTTTCCTTGTCCCTGTAAACCAGAGAATCCATTTGAGATTGGTACTGTTAAATAATTTTCCTTACACAGGAATGGCAACTTTCAAACTGGAAAAACAAAGGATGAAGTTAAAAATAATGTTCAAAATAAAATGTATTCTACTTCAAGAATTCCATTCATTCCAATTCAGCCAACGTATTGAACTTATTAAATGCCAAGCACTATTTTAGGCACTAGAGGTACAAGAATCCAAGACACAAGAGGGAGTTGTTGTTGTTAAGTGCCATTGAGTCGATTGCGACCCATAGCGACTCTGTATGGAATTTCCGAGGAGCAGCTGGTGAGCTTGAACCACTGACCTCGCAGTTCAAATGACTTTTCAATCTGACGCATTAGCCCACAGTGCCACACCAGGACTCCAGGTCTTATGAATACATGGACACATAGTAATGTATTAAGTAATACATATTAGTGTTATGAGCAGTGGAGAGAGAACTCATTTTAGTAGAAAAAAGGAAGGGCAAAGATTTCCTGAGAAGGCAGTTTTTGAGTTAGGCTTTTAGGCAAATGAAATGTGGAAGGTGGGGGCCTTCTAGTGAGTGAGCAGAGTTTGAGAGAAAGCAAGGAGAGAAAATCTGCAGAATGTGTTTAGAAAAAAAATCCCATTAATCCTAGCTTTTGAGAATTACAAAGTACAGATAAAAATCTTAAATCCTTCCAGGAACAAGGCAAGAAGTATACTTAAAAGACTTTTTTTGAAGTTACTTTATCTCATTTTATCACTTCAATCTATCTGCAATAAATATTTGTTGAATACCAGTGGGTGTCCACTGTGGCTCTTCCTAGCCTCATTTCTTTATGGTACACAAAACTTTTGGCTCCAGTAAGATACACTGTTATGACTTCTGACAATGGAAACCTCCTTAATTCTCATCTGGAGGCTTTGTTGAATGTAAGAGGTAATTGGAAGTCAAAAGTATGACAGACTGAAGAGAGGAACAATCTTGAGAGAGAGACATTTGGGGAGGGGTACTCGAGAATCCTGCGTTGCAGAAATAAGTTTGTCATGGACTTCTGTGTGATTTCCATCTCTTCATCCAGAGCTTGGAGACTCTGGATCAAATAGCTTGCAAGCTATCATCCTTGTACCAACATTTCATGTTTTTGGAATGTATCTTAACCCATACTAAATTCCAGACATCATATTAGATGTTAAGCATATGAAACTAAAGAAGATAATGTCTTTGTCCTAAAACTCGTATCTTTATTAGCTGTGGATTCTTGAGGGTCAAGGCCCAGTTAACTGTTTTGTTGGATGTTTGTTTGTTCCCTTGATTGCTTTTCTTTGCAAATTGTTTTCCTATGTACTTGTTGTTTAATGACTTGGAGTCGGTTTTGACTCATAGAAATCCTGTACAGGGTTTTCAGGTTTAAAAAAAAAATTTTTTATTTTTCAGGACCAGAAAGTCTCATCTTTCTACTGTCAAGCAAATGGTGGGCTTGAACAGCCACCTTGTGGTTAGTAGTCCATTGCTTAACCTGTGGAGCAAATATATTCATCATTGACCTTCTTCTGCTGAAGGTACTGGGATGGATGTGAATATACCAAACAACAAGAGATGGTATCTTCTCTCATATCAGCTTCCATCCAAGCAAACAATAGCAATGACAAAAACAAAACAAAGCAACTAACCATCAAGTCAATTCTGACTCATAGCCACCCCAATTGTGTACAGCAGAACTGTGCTCTGTTTTCAGTGGCTGCGTTTTCAGTACATCTCCAACCCTTCCAAGGTGCTACTGGGTGGACTCAAACCTCTAATCTCTCAGTTATCAGCCAAGCACGTTAGCAATACCACCCACGGACACCCACTCCCCATCCCTAAACAGTGGATTTGTATTTTTTAGCTTTTCAAAATACTTGATGGCTAAACAATCGGTTTAAAGAACTGGACTATTGCTTCTGTTCAATGCATTTTGTACCTAATGCTAAGCTGATGAAACTGTGAGCCACAAGCTCAGCAGTTCAAACTCAACAGCTGCTCCTTGGAAACCCTATGAATTGAAACCGACTGGACAGAACCTAATAGCAATCACCTCAACACCACTTTTACTAGTACTGCACTCAGAAAACTGTTAGATGCGCTGAGAAACGCAACAGAATTTTCCTTCAACTAATTTCAGAGACTGAAAAATCAAACAGAAACAAATACCTTATTAAGAGCAGCATGTGGAAAATCAAGAATGCCAGTCAAATAGTATGTTGTCTTTGATTCAGGGGCCATTTTTTTTGTCTTCTTTCCACAGCACCTTATTATTGAAAGAGACAATAGGTTTAATCGTGGGATCTTGAACATATTATTGTATTCAGTTATATACCACAGTTTCTTTATTTATAAAATAGACCTTCAGTGGCACATTTACATATCATCAAATAAACTAAGCATCATAAATAGAGATTTAACACAGTCTATCTTTCCTTCCTTCCCTATCTTCTGAATAACAAATCTGAGAATAATACTATTACAGTTATTAAAACCCCTTTGTTGAAAACCATCTTTATTTTTTCACTATTTAGCTGGAAATTTTTGTTTCTTCTCAATAGTCTTTTAAACAACTTATGTGAAATTCTGACCTCTAGTGGTATTGCTTGAAAACACTACTGAATAGAAATTTTAACAAGAGATATTCAAAAGAATTTTGAGGTGGTCTGTTCAAACTCATCAGTTGCTCCTCAGAAACTGGATACAGAGTCACTCTAAGTCATTCCCAGACCCATGGCACTTAACAACAACGAGAAGAAATATTTGGATAATGCCTTACATATTTCAAAGTATTTTCAAATGCATTGTCTTATTTCATTCTCACTGCTAGAGTCCTGGTGTGGTGCTCTAGAGTAAGCACTGGACTGCTAGGTCAGTTTGAACCACAGTGGTGGTGGATGAAACCCACCAACCACTCCTCGTAAACCCTATATGTGGTCTTTAAGAGATGGAGCCAACTTGACAACTCATAACAGCAACAACAACAACTGGAGTTCTGGTGTGGTTTTGTAGAATAAGTACTGTACTAGAAGGTCAATTTGAACTGCAAGTTCAGCAGTTCAAACCCACCTGTTGTTCCTGTGAAACCCTATAAATGATCTCTATGAATCAGAACCTCCTTGACAGCACTTACAACAACATCCTGTGGAGTGAAGATCAAATAGAACAATGCATTTGAAAGTACTCTGAATGCTGGAAAGCATCACCCAATATCTTCTTGTTTTCAAGTGCCACTCAGCTGGTGTAAGTCACAGTGTCCTGGTGTGGCTCTAGAATAAGCACTGGACTGCGAACCACAAGGTCAGTAGTTCAAATCCACCAGCTGCCCCTTGGAAACCTTTACTGGGTCTCTATGAGTCAGAACCCAGACCACGGTGCTTAACAACATGTAAGGAGACCAAGGTCAGCAGTTCAAATCTACTACTGCTCTGCAGGAGAAAGATGAGATTTTCTCTTCCCATAAAGATTTACAATTTCAGAAATCCTATATTGGGTAGCTGTGAGTTGGAACTGACTCCACAGCACATGACCCACCATACCCTCACATAAGGAGCCCTGATAATATAGTGGAGTACACACTGAGCTGCTAACTTCAAGGTCAACAGTTCGAATCTATGAGAAGCTTCTTGGGAGAGAGATGAGGCTTTCTGCTCCTGTAAAGATTTATAGCCTCAGAAACCCTATACAGGTTCACTATGAGACAGAATTGACAAGAGGGCACATGACCACCCCTACCATATCCTCATCAGCTAGAAATATCTTTAAATGCAAAGATC